CCCCATCAGATGTTGCTCACTCGTAGTCATTTTCAATACCCCAGCACGTCCCTGATACAAATAATTTAAGCCAGTTTTCCAATTGGTGAAAATTTGTTCGCATAAAATGAAAAAAAAATGGCAATATGATTGGGTAAAGCTGCAATTTTTTCGCTAACAATATGCATTGCTGAATTTTGCGACAGAATCTCAGTAGTTCCTGTCATATAATCGACGCAATGTTAGAGTGACATTCATATGCCTCTAAGCTTGTATGCCAAACTCAACTGTGGGGATGGGCATGCACCCATGTCACCCCCTCATAAATAGTATGTTAATCATTGCCTATCACATGTCACTCCAGCATCACATCATATAGAATTAAAGTTCGGTATATAAGTGGATCGGCGATTGGTCATGTGGACAATATACATTCGATTGTTCATAGATAAGTACATGTATTCATTTGAGACAATTGTAGTTACAGTAATAGTTTATAAAACAAGTACATTTATGTTGAATAACTTGCATAAATCATATAAGAACATGATATTCATAACATTAAAATCTTAATACAACTATAACAAATTTGAAGTGCTAAACACTTGATACCAATGTTAACCATTATATATGCATGTCTTATGTGCAACTAAATATAAACAAGGCCGAGTAAACATGGTGTTTAGCCTGGTTCTAGTACACCCGCGATGACTATTTTGCAGGTGTGAGAATTAACGTGTCTCTGAAATCACCTGCAGCTTGTTTTATATTGCGAACACACGGATGTCACGTGCACGTCGATCAACCACAAATAATCAAGTAATTCTATGTTGAATGATTAAAAAAATGATGTTGCTTTCTCTGTAATTTAAATTGTGATGGGCAATGGCCATGGTCAATATTGTCTTGGCATTGAAAATTTGAAATCAGTGATCATTGGGTCGGCAACGTGTTAAAATGGTCATCGCTAACTGGCGGTGATATACGAGATCTAGGCTTCACCAAATATGTACTACTAAAAATAACTTCTGCATTACAAATAATTTAAATGTAAATAAGCAGAACGTTGTTTAGAATTATCAATACATTTGAATGTAAACAAAGTTCCTCAGAAAATTAATAGTGCATATAACAGCCATAACATCAATATCAATATAAAAGTTAGAACCCGTTCACACGATACCGGCAGAGTTTGAAAACAGAACGAAATTCTTACGTTTAGGGGTTGCGTTCACACGATGCCAGTATAAAAAAATGCGAAACGCTAACCGTAAGAGTTTGAAAACGGAACGAAATTCTACCATCAAAGTGCCGTGTGAATGCCTAACTGTGAAATGAACAAAACTGCAAAAGTTGTTATTGCATATTTTATTGTGTCTATTTTAACTGATTTGTGCAGCATATTGTCAAAGCGGAATATAATCTGCCGGTATCGTGTGAACAGTTGAAACCGTGATGATTTTCTGTCGGCAGAATTTCATGCCGGTATTGTGTGGACCGGGTCTTAGACAATAACAGTAGGAACTACCTTGAAACAACTTCTTACTATGCATGCATCATGACATTACATATCCACAAGGTATGGTATATCCACTATATCCCGACAAAATATATTGCCAACTGCTGCCACCCTTGCGAGAACAACCAAGTAAGAGTACTTGCAGTATTCTCTTTCTAATTGTGACATGCTCTGGCTGATCAGATCCAGAAGAACTAAGAGAAACAAAGTGCATCCATACTAAATATGTTTGCTGGTGCATGTCAAATTAAATGCCAATCTCTGTTTTAGAACAATAACGTACTAAATTGGAATATTAGAGTAAGGCAGTGTTTAGTATCAAATAATAACTGAAAGCCTCTCTTGCATGGCCATATAAGGACAATGTGTACGCTACAATATCTAGAAAAGAAACAAAGTTACTGGTAATTCCCGATAACTGTATATTTAATTGTTTTTGTTTGTGGAAACACCACGTAAATTTATTACTGCAAAGCTTTCGATCCGTAAGCCCGGATCTTCATCAGTGCTAATAATATGTGACTTGTTTAATTCACACGCTCTTTTTATATACAAGAGTGTCGTGATCTGTTGGCTCGCATCATTTGAAATTGAATTAAATGGCACATCAACCACGTCATTTCAAACGTAGTGAAGTGATTCCAATTAACGCGCGCGCATCCAAGACAAGAGAAATTAATTTTGCACATTAAAGAGAGCACGCCACGTACTATCTAGTGGCTTTTTTCTATCTAGTATCTAGTACAACCACGAAAACTTTACGAAAACTTTTAACAAAGCACGTTCCACTCAGATTGCCAAATTCACAAAATTGACGTCCTTTGGTCGGACGCATCGCAGACAAGAAGATTTGGCCAGTCATCCACTACAACGCACCGTTATCAATATGAGTGCTAGAAGACTTACGCCGGTTGAAGAAGATGTCTTGGCTCTTGGATTAAATTTCGCTGTGGTACCCCGTGTTCTTCCTAAAGAAGAATTCGTACAACGTTTGGAACCGAAGTTATACCACATGACGAACGATGAAGCTAGTAACATCCGCGTCCAAATCACCGAGGTTCTACGACGTGCAACGCTTCCAGCTTCGAATTTAACCAAGAATAAGAACGATGCATTGAAAAACTTAAGAGCAGATAAGTCAATACATATTTTAAAGGCTGATAAGGGTAACGCTACGGTTATTTTAGATCGTCTAGAATATGATAATAAAATCCTGGCTCTTTTAAACACTTCAACTTATAAAGAGCTTAAAAGAGACCCTACAGCTAACATTGAACGTAAAATATGTTCCAAACTATCTGGTTTTAAAAAGGCAGGTATTTTGTCTCAAACACTTCATAATTGTTTGAGACCTTCAGCTACTGTTTGTCCAAAATTTTATGGTTTACCTAAGATACATAAACCTAATGTCCCACTAAGACCTATTGTAGCGTCCATAGGTTCGCCAATGTATGCCCTGGCTAAATATCTCGCTGAGATATTGAAACCAGTTGTTGGAAAAACAGATCATCATGTAGTAAATTCTAAAGAATTTGTAACAAAAATGGAACAAATTAGATTGGGTAAGAATGACATTCTGGTAAGTTTTGACGTAGTTAGCTTGTTCACTAATGTTCCAGTTGAAGAGGCTTGTAATATCGCGAAAGAAAGACTTCTTTCAGATATTATATTATCTCAAAGAACTAATCTTTCTCCTGAGAATGTTCATGATTTGTTGAAACTATGTTTGACCACGACATGTTTTCAATGGCGTGAGAAATTCAATGAACAAACAAACGGCGCTCCAATGGGAAGTCCATTGTTGCCTGTTATGGCTAATTTGTTCATGGAGGAATTTGAAAAGAAGGCCTTAGCTACTGCAAAGTTGAAACCAGGTTTCTGGTTCAGATACGTGGATGATACATTGAGTAGTTGGTCTCATGGACTAGATAATTTACAAAAGTTTCTAGACCACATTAATAGTTTGCATCCATCGATCAAGTTTACTTTTGAAGTACAGAAGGATGATAAAACTATACCGTTCCTAGATGTTCTTTTCACTATACATGATGATGGGTCGCTAGGACATAAGGTTTATAGGAAACCAACACATACAGACAGGTATCTGCATTATAATTCATTTCATCATCCTAGTATTAAAAACTCTGTGTGCAAGACACTCATCAACCGAGCGAAAACAATTTGCGAGGTAAGTAACATTGACGATGAATTAGAACATTTAAGAAATGTTCTAAAAATGAATGGTTACCCACGGCATTTCATAGATAATGCTATGAAAACGCCACAAAGTACACAGCAGAAGATTGAATATCAGTCGTCTGTTTGTCTACCATACATTGGTCCGGCTTCACACAAAATCGAAAGAATTTTGAGGAATGAAGCAGGTATAAAGGTATACCATTCCAGCGAAAACAAATTGTTTCAAGCTCTTTGCACACATAAGGACAATGTAAATGAATCTCAGAAACCTGGTGTGTACCGCATTCCTTGTGAATGTGGTCTGGTTTACATTGGTGAAACTGGTCGAAATCTCTCAGTACGTCTTAAGGAACACAAGGCGAATTGCGAGAAAGCC